CCCCCGCGAGGGCCGCCGGTCACTGTCAGCCCGTCCCGCGAGGACCACCGGGTCACGGAGCGGCCAGCCGTCACCACGAGGATCACCGAGTCATGGCGCGGGTCAGCCCGCCCCCGCGAGGGCCGCCGGGTCACTGTCAGCCCGTCCCGCGAGGGCCGCCGGGTCACTGTCAGCCCGCCCCGCGAGGGCCGCCGGGTCACTGTCAGCCCGCCCCGCGAGGGCCGCCGGGTCACTGTCAGCCCGCCCCCGCGAGGGCCGCCGGGTCACTGTCAGCCCGCACCCGCGAGGGCCGCCGGGTCACGACAGCGGAGCGCAGGGGCCCAGCGCCGGGGCGGGTCCCAGGCCCCAGACTCTTGTTGCTCTGTGGTATACTTGGGCTCATCGACAGGACGCTCATGAATTCCTCAGAAAAAGTGCAATTTTTACTTATAGTTAAAAGCAGACACCTGGTTTTTTAGGCGAAGGAGTGCGGGGCGAGGACGCGCTCCGCCGACTGGCTCCCCTCACTTGTCAGCTGTGAAAACCAGCGGGGGGGGGGGGGGGGGGGGGGGGCGGACGCCGCCGGGATCCGGGCTGCTGGCTGCTCCGAGATCTCTCCACGACCGAGTCTTACCTAAAGCCAAACTCTTTCAGTATTTAACGAGATAATCTGATACACAGACTATAAATAGCACCGTTGCATTTCCCTGCTGAATTTAACGTAACAAGAGAACCTGCGAGTTTTGTCGATGAAAAGGTACCTCTATTAGAAAAATTTTGACACTTCACAGTAGCCACATTGTTAGACGACAGAACGATTTTTGCGGGCATAGCGGCCTTATTAACTGAACGTGATCCAGTTAACCGGCACTTTTGAAAGGCGTCCAGAATCTGGTGATCCTGTGGCAAAGATTCAAAGAAAAGGTCCTAGCCAATGTCTAAAAGCTGTGTTTTAAGGAGAATCTATATAGCCCTCTATTTCCCCAACTAACGCTAAGGGGCAAAAAATCCCTAAATAACTAGCTTTAGTCATTAGCCCCTTTATTTCAGGCAGTGCTAAATATAAACAAATTCCACTCCAGTGTAAGATGTGAATGGCTCCGCTCAGTTCTTTGGAACAGGCTGAATCCGAGTTCTCAGAACCACAGCGAGAACCACGCGGGCTCTGAATCGCCGAGACGCCAGCAGCAGCGCTCCACCGCCACGCCCCTCAGAGTCGCCCCGAGGGGCGCAGGCGCGCTGAGGCGGCCCCGCCCCGCCCCCGCCCGCCGACGGAGAGAGCGTGCCCGGAGGGCTGCGGGCGGTGCCGCGAAGCCACACTAAGCTCCGTCCCCACGCGCCAATCCGGAGTGGGCGGCGGCTTCGGGACTTGCGTTTGTCGGCGGCGCCCGCCTCCCTGGCGGGAGCTGGGAGAGAGGAGCTCGGCTTCGCGTCAGCCGAGTCACCTCGGAGGGCCGCGCGCGCTTCCTGTTAGAGACGCGGCTGCCGTCAGCCCTTGAGCGAAGGCGAGATGAACCCGACTCCGCCGCAGCCGCCGCCCAGGACCCAGACGCCGGCTGTCGCAGCTCTGGCGGGCGTGCTGCGCAGGGGGAGGCCCTGGACGGCGTCCCCTCACCCAGTCTTCCAAAGCCGCCGCGGAAGTCTCCGGACGTGTCCCCTCAGGTTCTGACTCAGCCCTGAAAACTGGGGCCTACAGGCGCGTGCTGTCGCGGAGGCCTCTGCTCGGCGGGCGGCCTGGCCCTGCCCCACCGCCCAGCAGGGAGGCGCGACGTCCAAGGCAGCAGGTGTTGGCGGAGTGGCCACACTGTACTGGAGATGGAAAAGAAGGTGATACCCCTGGGTTTTGTTTAAGTGAGGTGTACCACATGCCATAGGTGAATTAAAGCCCCACTTTGGGGATAAAAACTTGAATGATCGTTCTTTTTAAGATGTAGTGATTATATACATTCCCGAAGGTAGAAATTCTGGACACGAATTCATACCAGGTATGCTGACTCCGTCCAGGGGGTTTCTCAGTTGCTTCATTTGCTTGTAAAGCCGGTAGTCCTCTTGCTGTCGTTTGGTCTTCTCCATGAGCCGTGCACAGTGACATTAACGGCGGGTCTGGGCTTCCGGTTCCTGAAGAACACTCGAGCAGAACATTTCCCCAAACTTTCCTCGCCTTCCTGAAATAAAGATTTGGAATTGAACAGGATGGTTCCCCACCACTCTCCCCCGCAACACGCGCAGAAGGAGAAGTTCCCTGCAAGGGCAGGCAGGCACCGGCGTCAGCAGACAGTGGCCTTGGCTTTGTGCAGAGTGAACACGTCAGTCCTCCGCTCTGGGCTGTCATTTAAACTCCCGCTTCCTGATGGTGCCTTATAAATAATGCTGGGCCCCGTCCAAAGAAGCCCCCTGCTGTCGCCGAGCGCTGCCTGGCTCAAACTCTTAGGACAGCGGGGACCTTGCTCTCTACTGTGCACCAGCACGACGCCCGGCTGGACCTCAGGCTTGTTAACTTGAACCAAAAGATGCAACTGGCTCCCTGTGACAAAAATGGCAACACCTTCACGCTGCCTTATGAACTTGGTCCTCTTATTCAAGTTTCACAGATGAAGATACTGAAGCTTAAAGAGGAAGCTACTTCATGTCTAACAGGCAGTCAGCGGGAAGCCAGGACTTGAGCTCCTGCCGAGGCCAAAGCCCAGGCACTGTGCTAACTCCCTCTCTCCACTCGGAGAGCAATCCGGAAGGAGTGGAGGTGCACATCACCACATGGGGCTAATTCAACTAGCTGCGTGACCGCGGGATGTTTGTCCTCGTTCATATCTAAGTGTAGATGGACTGAGTACTCTGGGATCACCCTCACTTATTTTCCAGTCCAGAGACATCTGGAGCCGGACAGCGGGCTGCTTCAACTAGACAGCGGATGTGGGGCTCATTTCCAGGGTAGTGCGTCTTCACCCTTTTAGAGCAGAGATTCCTTAACCCAACAACAAAAGCCGGGAAGCCTATTCCCAGAAAAACGACATGCACTCTCCCCGGCTGCTCTGGGCCTGGAGTCTGAGGCCGTCGTGGCCCTCCGGAGCCCGTCCGTGCGTCCCGCCTCAAGAACTCCTCTTACAGGGAGGTCGGTGAGCAACTGCGGCAACAACCTTCTTTCCACATTTGCAGCTGCTTAAACTGGGTGCAGTCGCAGGGAGAACCACACCAAAAATAAACTTCAAAAGAAGCCCACGAGGAAACAAACTGTAATCAAAATTGGATCTGCTGAAGAAGCCCATTTCTAGAACTCACTCAAAAAACTGAAATAGGCTTTCCCATAGCAGCTTTTCCTCCTGTGAGCGCTCGTTTTGAATGAGACGGCATTTCAGTGTGCCTTAACATCCTAAGTATTGGTGCAACACAGAGAAAGGAGAAGGTGAGCATTCAGGAGGAGGCTCATCGGAGGCACAGGACAGGGCTGGGCACGGCACCCATCCAGGGAAGACACGAGGAACCAGGCATCGCCCCTTTGGTTTTCCTTTCCCTTTCCCCAAGAACAGCTGCACAGAATCAAAGCAGTTTTCTGAAGGTGAAAGAACCCTCCCTGGCCCGTGGCATGGAACATGGCAGGTAGCTAGCTGTGCTCTTCAGGGAAAGGTAGCGTCGGTCAAAACCACCTAGTAATTGTTCCCCTTAGGTGTAAGCTAACACTTTCAAGTCTGCAACACCAGAAGTCAAAGGCATCTTCCTCACGCTTTAAGAACATTTTAATTCTTAGGTTAATTAGTGAAGTCAGAGTATATTGTTGTCTTGTTAGAACTGGTTTCCAAATACTGGAAGCATTCTTCCAGAAGCCTCGGGCTGCGGGGTCAGGCCCTGCTGAGGCCCTGGAAGGCTGGCCATAGTGCCGGCTGCTCTGACTCAGTACCGCACAGGGAACGTGGCTGGTCCCGGCTCCACCCCTGTTCTGGATGCTGGCCCAGCAGAGGGAAGGGCATCTGGTTCTAATTTCTGTATGCGTTTTCTGTTTACTCTCTTCCTGAGAACGGGAAAAGGAAAGCTGGCAAACCATGGCCTGCTTGGTCGGGCTTGTAGAGAGGCAAATAGTGCCTGTGGCCGGCATGGGCTCTGCTCTGTGTTTCACAGAGCTCCTCAGTGCACAGAAGCTCCTGGAATCACCTCACGCTATGCCAGCCTGCTAAGGAGAAGTGCCACCAGTTGGCAGGAAGAGGAACAGATTGGCATTTGAGAGAGTCATTCTAAGGACTCTGAGGTGCTAGGGAGGGGGACCCAAGGGAGCTGGGACAGTCTCCCCAGGCGCAAAGGAAGGAGGGGATGCTGGCTGTGTGCAGAGTTTTAAACACAACCCTGCATAAGGCCACGAAGTCCAAGGAGCTAAATCTTGAGTTCTCGCCTAGCTCTGTTCTTCAATTCTTGAGACCAAATAGAAAACAAAGCAGGAAAAGACAAAACACAAGCAAACCTCCAGGTCACTGTACATTAGATTCTCACTTTTCTTAAAAAATACATTCACACGAGTTGCTAACAGGATGCCTCACTAATTGTGGCCGCTTACCTCTGAGTTGTAGCGCTCCGTGGTAAACACCAGGTCAACTGTACATTCCTTCTTTGCATTGATCTGAAACACAGAAACGGAAACTTAGCCTAGCGGAAGCTCTGCTAGCATCTTCAGGTCCAAGAATCACCCTCTTGGGATAACATGGCGTGCAAGGTAGCTGCAGCATTTACACCTGAACAAAACTGCTGATTTTTTGGGAGAAAAGATCTCAGATTTGGTCTGGTTATGCCACTCGGCTTGCTAGCTTGACACCTACTCACAAAGAGCGAGGTTGAGAGAGGAAGCATTGTGCTGAGGCTGGACGTTGCCTTCATGAGAGCAGCTGGGTGGCAAAGGGACATGTGCGTGCAGGGCTGTGGAGTGAGTTTCTTCCATCCCCAGCTGTCAAGTGTCGCCCACCCTGTCTTGGGTGCTGGGCTGCAGCCGTGAGGGAGACAGGCGAGGGTGCCACTCACGGTCCCACTGTGGCCACAAAGGTGGACCTAGATTACTAAATAGTGGGTTTGCAGATGGTGATAAGTGAAGAAAGAGTGGTGGGCATGTGTGGCAATGTTACTAAGGCAGACAGGGAGGCCGTGGGGAGCGGTGAGGCCCAGCCGCCTCTGTGAGGAGCAGGCGGGGCGGGCGGGAGAGGGCCAGCGTCAGGGGAGGTGGGGAGGCTGGTGGACAGGCCTTAGGTGGCGGGGGCCACCTCCTGGAGCCCCGGGTTTGGCAGACCCGAGTGGCATCGGCAGGGCGCCCACAGGACCAGGCCAGGGTGCCAGGGCCATGGCCATCCGCGGTCCCTATCGGCATGAACATGCAGGGACGTGAGGGGGCCAGAGTCATGCTGGGCCCTGAGCCCTGCGGGGAGGAGGCAGGGAAGGATGCTGCGCCCTCCGTGGAGAGGCGCTCCCCCGGAATACTCCTGCCCCAGGCTCCCAGTGAGCAGCCCAAGGGTGTGAGTGAGACCCAGGGAAGAGCTGGACGGCTGCCCGGCGTCTGTCCCCAAGTCACCTGAAGGCTGCGGTCCCGCCACCCGGCCAGAGTCGGAGGAGCACACAGAAGTGCGGGCTGCTGCCCATCACCCCTCGGCCACACCGGCGCCCATGAACAAGGCACCCTCACGCGAGACTGTGCTGCTGCTGGCCGCAGGCTCCAGGCTTTCAATGGCCTGCATGCCGGCTTGGGGCCCCCTCGCCTGCGGCCTGCAGCCTGCAGGACCTAGGAGTCCGCCCTTCATGTCACTTAGGGCCCCTGCGTGCAGGCCTCCTACGACCCAGTCAGGGACCCCACAGGCCACTAGTTGGCGGGTGAGCAGGGTGGGTGGGGAGGCCATTCACAAGAAGAGGTGGAGGAGGTCGGGTTGGCAGTACAATCTTTGGCGCTGGGGCACGAGGGGGCCATCCAGGAGGCAGCTGAGTGTGATGGAAGCAGACCCAGTAGAGATGGTGGTTGAACCGTGGAAGCTGGTCGTCCTGTCCCATCGTCCATTCCCTGCCCCGCCCGCCCCGCCCGCCCCGGGAAGATGTGTACACTAGACTCCTGAGGACCACCAACTTCACATCAGTAAGAAATGCGCATGCTTATTTGCTATACACAAAGATTCACAAAAGTTCTCCTGATTCTCAATACAACTGTGCATACTTAAAGTACTTAAGATCTCATTTGACTCAACAGCTTTTGGAAAACCCATGGAGGCGAAGTGAGGCGCCAGCGCAGTCTTTGTACGGAAAGAAACAGAACTGGATTCACAAAGGCTGGGAGCTGAGTCAGAATGGAGCCTGTCCTGAAGAGTCATTTTCCTGGCTGATTAGATTTCCTTATTGTTTTAGCTAGGCACTCTTAAAAGCTTCTACAGTGTGTCCAAAGCAAGATTTTCATAGTTTGGTCGTACTTCATCATCGCTCAAGATGCAGCCCTTTATCTGTCTTCTCCCTCATCTGTGTCACAGGCTCCCCGGAGGCCTGAGGTCAGCAGCCAGGGCCAACGCATGGGCGCAGCAGCCAGCCAGCTTGGTCTGCGAGGGTCAGTGCTCCTCCGCCAGTTTAGGACCAAGCTTCGCTTTGGCTGTCTTTGATTAAAATTATTCTGCCAGGTCTTTGTTCAAAATCCACTGCAGGGATTAGCTGAGCGCTGAGCACTGTGCTGGGCGCAGGAACAGCGGGAAGGGAGCAGCTGCAGCCTCAGGGCAGGCAGGTGCGGAGAAGGACTTGAAATAGATGATTGCAGATTGATTACTTGATCATGGATGACTTAAGAGCCATGAAAGGGTATCTGGAGAACTGACCCAGTCTAGGGATCAGGGAAGTGCCATTTGAGCTGAACTCTGCATTAAGAAGAAATTGACTTGGGGGCAGGGGCTGGCAAATCATTCCACACGTTAGGAATGAAGGAAAGGGAGGCTGTAGGCCCCGAATAGGGCGGGAAGGTGGAGCTAGGGTCAGGAGGAGGCCCACCGGGGAGGCAAGGGCTACCTTGAGGGTTTATCCAAGAGAAATGGGAAGCCGGGGACAGGAGAGAGAGATCCCGCTAGCCCGAGGTGGAGAACTCGCGCCGGAGTGCGGAGGTGGCCAGAGTGGACGCAGGTCTCGGGAGCTAGTAGAGGGGGGATGAC